TGCCTTGAGTTTTCCGATCACCTCTTCAATGGACATTGATTCCAAATCTCCAAATTGCTCGAGTGTCGAGGCAATCTGAAGGAATTTGGACGACACCGCCCTAAGTAACTTCTTCACCACTTGAGATTCTTCTACCTTGTCTCCCAAGGTTCGTAATGTGCTGACTGTGTTGATTACTTTTCCGGTGAAGTCATCAACACTCTCCGTTTCTTTCATGCTCATGGCTTCAAGTTCAGCCTTGAGTGTTTGAATCCTGGCAACCTTCACTCTATCTGCCCCTACAAACATAATTTTGAGGGCTTCCCAAGCTTCTTTGGCAGTCTTCTTCTCCGCCAATGTCATGAGCAAATCCTCAGGTATTCCCTGATAAATGACAGCCAACGCCATGTTATCCTTCTTTGCTTCAACGAGAGTGTTGGCTGTTCTGGGTTCTACTGCATCCCAAACACCTTGAGCCAACATAAAGACCCTCATCTTAATTGCCCATGCACTGTAATTGCTTATTGTCAACATCGGGTAGTGCAAGGTGATTTGCCCATCTTTATCGCCATTACCATTGTTGCCTGTCATTTCTTTTCGAGGTTGATACTTGGGCATATACCAGGTGTGTTCTGATACCAAATGTTGGTTTTTCACAAACCTTCAACCTATGTTTGGCAATGGAACAGTAACAAAAAAGAAACAGAGCACAAGATGCCTAAAGCTTATAGCTTTATTGACTGAATTAAAAAGAAGGGGTGATACACTCAACGTACACACAAGCCAACTATTTAAACTCAAAGAATGCTAAAAATACTGCAACTAATCCTACTGGCTTAAGACCCGGACTCAACAGCCCACATGGCTTTGAATTATTCAAAAATAAAAAAACGTGACAAAAACTAATTTCTGAATTACACCAACAGTGACACCTAGGCTTCATCTAATTGGACAGGCTTGTCCAAACTGCTACCTCTTAAACTTCTTTAGAACCACATCATGATGAGTATCGAGACTAGTCTCGATCAACTTATGTAGTGCAAGATTTTGTTGGGTAGTATGTAATTGTCCAACATAACCCACTCCAGCTTGATTCCTAGCATCTCGTACCACTCCTTTATGAACACCTTCATCAGTTTGAACCCCTACATCTTGAACACCTTCATCCCCTTCATCTAGACCCACGTTTGGTTGAACCCATTGACCTTAAAACCCTGCAAGAGTTTTTCTTCTCAAAATTGTCATTTTTACCTTTTTGGTAAATTTAACCATTTCGGTCACTTAAGTCATGCATCTGAACCACTCAAAACATAAATACAAGAACATCGATCTTGAACCATCCAACAATTTTTTTCGTCAAAATAACAATTTTAACCTTTTTGGTGATCACCTGGACCAAATTTGGCCTTTAACCCTTAAAAAATTAAATTTAAAGATGATTATTATTGATAGATATCAAACTTATACTATATATGAGTATTAAATAGGGTTTACATTAATATGTGGGAGTTACATGACATGAGACTAATAAGTTGGAAAAATATGAATGAAAAAGAAAGTGAAATAAACTAGCTTTACTTGTTGTAGGCTTAAAAAAGAAAAACAAATATATTGTGTTGTAATAATCTTCATCGTCATCCTCTCATGCATGCTTCACCTTCTGTTGTTTTACCCCAACACCGGCACTCCTTATGGTTTTATACTTTTATTATCTTGTAGACCAGTAATTTAACTAGTTTTTTATTTTTGCAGTCAAGTTTGCTATAAAAAGCCTTTTTCCATTACTTTTTCATTTTTTTTATCATTATTGTTGGTAGAATTGTTGTTATTGGTGCATAGATTTAAGGGGTGTTTGGCAAAACAACTTATTAGCTTATTAGCGGTTCCACAACGTTTTAAACTAAAAATTTGTTTGGATAAAAATAGCTCATAATGGTGAAAAACCGCTAATAAGTCATTTTTTCATAAGTTAACTACCTCTATTAGCTGATAAACCAATAAGCTAATAAGTAATAATTTTTTTTGTCAAGCACCCCCTTATTTTTCACATTTACCCTTTTTCTCTCTTCCTAAAAGATAACGACACTCTTTTTTTTCATAACACAGTACACCTTTTCTCAGGCGAAAGGTTCATCATCATTCATCTCTGACATGATTCACCTTCTCCATTGTGTTACCCCAACCCTAAAATCTCATCACTACTACTACAACGTATAGAAATAGGCATGAGTATAGGCAGCTATCATGCCAAATTGTTTTTGAAATATTAGAACCGAAACTTGCCAACCGATGCTTTAATATGGAGATGGTAACATGAAATTGAACAAACCTACAATAAACATTATCGGTTCTATAGATTTCGGTATTACATTATTGGTACACGGTCTATGTAAGACCAACAAAGTTCCTCACATGTTAGGCGAACTTGCATATATCTTCCATTGATTGGTGTGGTTTCATCATAAATTGCCTTAAATCTTTTAAAACAATTGGAAGAGGGACGAACCAATATTTTATTTCATTGGTCGTGCATCATATTATCGGGTAAATTGCACAAAACTCACTGTGTTTTTAATTTGTTGAAATTTTGACACTGTGTTTTTTGCGTTTCAATTAAGATAATGTATTTTCCAATTTGTTACAATGTTGAACATTTTTTCATTGTCACTATTGACGTGACATGGCGTGACACTATTTGGTAGTTACGTGTGAGTAATAAGTTAGAATAAAAATAATTTAATAAAAGTGAAATAAAATAGCTTTACTTGCTATAGGCTTAAAAAAGAAAAACACATGTGTTGTTTTGCAATAGTTTTGCATGTGTTCGCGTTAGAAATAAGGGAAATCTCCAGAAAAGTACTAAAATTTTAGTCTAATTTATAAAAAAGTCCCAAACTAAATTTTATTTATAGAAAAACACAGAATACCGGTTAAAACTTCGAAAAAACCCTTTTCGGCCAGTTTCGCAGATTTTGCCGGCATTCTGTCCTTTTTCGTTAGTTTGCTCAAAATTTTGAGACTTTTCCAAAAATTACATAATAACCAAAATATTGAGACTTTTTTGAAAATTACGATGAAATTAATGGATATTATTATTAACAAATCATTTATAAACATAAAAAATATTTTTATTATAAAAAAAGAAAATACATTTGTTGCTAATTTCTAGGAATAAATTGGTGGTCTAAGTACTCTATTGCTTCCTGACCACTCAAACTCTCTACGTTCTTCCTATGCATTGTTGTGGATATGATGGTGAGATGAACTTAGTTAGCATTCCTCTAATGTTGGTGTTCCTCTTATGTTGTTTAACCTAACTACCAACCAACATTCATATCTTACATGTTAACAACCATCGGCTAACACACATCTATAAAATGTGAAAAGTGAATCGTGAATGATAATTTATATGGAAACAAGTGAAGGGTTATTATCTATTTAAATTGTCATTCAAAGTTTACTTTTCACTCTCGATAGATGTGTGTAATTTTATGGTTGTTACTGGGTAATGTTTGGAGGTTAGGTGGTAGTTAGGTCAAAGAACATAATGAAAGATCTATATGTTCGTGTAATGATATTTTCTGATAACACGTGATCATATAGCATCATGCCTAATAGCAAGTAGACACTTATTGATTGTGTATTAATAAATATTATCAACTCTTGTATTGCTCACGCCTAACAGAGTACTTCTCACTATAACACTCACAACGATACATAGGAAGAACATAGAGACTTTGAAGTGGTCAACAAACAATAAAGAAGTACATAGTCGACCATTCTATTCCTAGAAATTAACAACAAATGTATTTCATTTGTTTATAATAAAAAAAAAATTATGTTTATAAATGATTTGTTAATAATAATATCCACTAATTTCATAGTAATTTTCAAAAAAGTTCCAATATTTTGGTTATCGGGTAATTTTCAGAAAAGTCCTAATATTTTTGAGCAAACTAACGAAAAAGGACAGAATACCGGCTAAATTTACGAAACCGGCCAAAAAGGGTTTTTTCGAAGTTTTAGCCGGTATTCTGTGCTTTTCTGTAAACAAAAAATAGTTCGGGACTTTTTCATAAATTAGACTAAAATTTTAGGACTTTTCTGGAGATTTCCCTAGAAATAAAAGCACAACATTTGTACAGTATAACAACGATTAAAGTATAATATCATAATTAGATAACATTGACAAATATACATGTAAATAGATATATAAGAAAACGTTCTCAGTATGAATCCAAAAATAATAGTATCGTCGTCTTTTATACAATGTGCATATATAAGAAAGTAATGGATCATGAAAAATTGATAGAAAAACAGAAACTGCTAGTTGAAGAATTGGAGAAAGAGATCAAAATGTACTAGTCAAATATAAAGAAAATTAAAAAAATGGTTTGGCGAAGCAGTTGACTGCACAAGTCTAGGCTAGTTCTTTGGTAATCAGGTTGGTAATTGTGATGTTACTGATGTTGTTACTGATGGGTTTGGCCAATGTAATGTTAAGTGTGTTTTCGATCTAATGAGGTTTGGTAATAGTTCTGGTAAATTGGTTTGTTGGCATTGTTTTGTAATTCATTGCAATGTAATGAATTATGAATTAATGAAATGTCTACATGTCATTACTTGTTTTGTCACATGTTACAACACACATTAGCAAAAGCCTGTTCAAAAGGCTACAATAAAGAGGCTGCTATCAAACCATGAAGCATAATGAGCTTATCAAGATAACATACATTAAAAGGCTGCTATGAAAATAACATAATAAATTAAGAACTTATCAAAATAGCATACATTAAGAGGCTGCTATCAAAGTTATCGAAATACTAAAATTTATCTTGTCGTCTTAAAGCTTTATAAACCTATTATATCAATTTACCAAGCATATTGTCTACAAAAAGCATCTGAAAATAAAATTAATAAAATGCTACCAAAGATTTAAACATCTTAACATGCAAACTAAAGTGTCACTTTTGCATGCTGATACCAAGGCTTCATCTAATTGGACAGGCTTGTCCAAACTGCTACCTCGTAAACTTCTTCAGAACCACATCATGATGAGTATCGAGACTAGTCAACTTATGTAGTGCAAGATTTTGTTGGGTAGTATGCAACTGTTCAACATAACCCACTCCAGCTCGATTCCTAGCATCTCGAACCACTCCTTTATGAACACCTTCATCAGTTTGAACCCCTACATCTTGAACACCTTCATCCCCTTCATCTGGACCCACGTTTGGTTGAACCCATTGACCATGAATCCCTGCAAGAGTGTTTTTTTTTCCGTCAAAAGTGTCATTTTTACCTTTTTGGTAAATTTGACCATTTTGGTCACTTAAGACATGCATCTGGACCACTCAAAACTGAAATACAAGAACATCTTGAACCAACCAACAGTTTTTTTTTGGTCAAAATAACAATTTTAACCCTTTTGGTTAACTTGGTCATTTTGACCATTTCGGTGTTTACATTAATATGTAGGAGTTACATGAGACTAATAAGTTGGAAAAATATGAATGAAAAAGAAAGTGAAATAAACTAGCTTTACTTGTTCTTGGCTTAAAAAAGAAAAACAAATATGTTGTGTTGTAATAATTTTGCATGTGTTGCAGTTGGAAAGAAAAAGGATAACACTTGCAAAATTATAAGAACAATTGATAAAAATATGATAATGTTATATCATTATACACAATATACATACATACATCTTACTGGTTAATTGGTACCTGCTTGTGCATGCATAACAAGAGGCTTTGATTTTCCTGCCTTTCATCTCTTCTAGCAACCCCATGGCATCATCCATTTTCCCTAGTTTACATGCAGCATCAATCACAATTTTAAACGAGACCCCCATCAATGAAAACCCTTGATTGCTGCATAAAATGCTTGAACAAGCATAGAGCTGCATCAGGCATGTCCAAAGCGCACAAGTATTGCATCATCCACCTCACAAACTTATGATCGGTTTTAATAGCTCTTGATTCCATTTCCTTACAAAGATCCAATGCCTTGTCTGTGAGTGTAAACCAGACTTGGTGTGAACCTGACATCAGTAGCTGCACCTCTATCTATGTTGACAATAAGAACTCAAATGGCAACTTCGTATGTTCATATAATGAACACAATAAATGGTAGCAGTAGTAATTGTAGGCTTGTTTAAGTATAAATAGAGGCTCTAACCTCAGTTGTAAGGCACCACAAAACAGAGAGTGTAGTGTGTAATACTTAGAGTGAGTATTAGAGGGTTGTTTCTTTTTCTTGTAATATTGAGCGTGTAAGCTTTTCTCTTTTGTTCTAGTTCTGAATAAAAGTGTGTTTCAACCCCAACAAGTGGTATCAGAGCTTGGTTAAGCTCTGGGGAAGCATTCTCTGTTTTTTGGTCGAAAAATCTTTTGTCTCAAAAACAATTTCAGAGTACACTGTTGGAAAGGTCTTGTTCCGAGGATTCCGAAAATATATTTTTTTGAATTTTTTGACCACCGGAAGGCCTCCAAATCACCGGTCAAAGTTGGTCAAATCTGCCGGAAAGGTCGCCGGAAAAACCAGGGTTCGCCGGAGAAGACGACACTGTAGCAGTGATGTCAGTAGTGACGTCAGCAGCTGACCAAAGTTCTGGAAATTGCAGTTTAGCCCCTGTTCTTCCGGAAAGTGCAATTTAGCCCCTGTTTTTCAGAAAAATTGCAATTTTGGTCCCGTTTTTCAGAAAAATTTCATTTTAGCCCCTGTTTTACTTCTGTAAAAGTTCTGTTTGCCCCCTGAACTTCTGAAAAGTTCATCTTGGTCCCCGTACTTCAAAAAAAAAAGAAAAAAAAGAAAAAAAAATATATTCTTACTCGTGTATGCCCAAGTATATGCCAAGAATGACTACACCAACCTCGTCATCTTCTCAAGCCGGAGTTGAAAGTTTTCAAAGTACCGGGAAAGACGACAGCGTTACGTTACACTATCCAATGCTCACGAAGATGAACTACGCGGTGTGGGCCATAAAAATGTGAGTGAATTTACAAGCACAAGGAGTATGGGATGTAATTAAAAATGCAGAAACGGACGAACGTAAAGATCGGATGGCTCTTGCGGCTATTTATCAAGCAATTCCAGAGGACGTACTTCCGATGTTAGCTGAGAAGGACACAGCTAAAGAAGCATGGGAAACGCTTAAGATGATGCACATGGGAGCCGATCGGGTCAAGGAGGCTAAAGCTCAAACCTTGAGAAGTGACTTCGAGGTGATCCGGATGAAAGACAGTGAATCGGTAGATGATTTTTCCATGAGATTGAATACTACCGTAACCGGTATTCGATCTCTAGGTGAAAAGATTGAAGAAATTACGGTTGTGAAGAAGTTTCTGCGAGCCGTACCGATACGATTTATACAAATCGTAACATCTATCGAGCAATTCGGAGATTTGAAGAATATGACGGTGGAAGAAGTTGTGGGTCGTCTTAAGACCCATGAAGAGAGACTTCAAAGCTATGGAGAAAAAGAAGGAGGACCTTCTTTATTGCTTACACATGCTGAGTGGGCATCTCGTTCGAAGCAAACTGGCGAGAGACACTCGTCAAACACTTCAAGAGGACAAGGAAGGCATGGTAACCGAGGCCGGGGACGAGGCCGAGGTCATGGACGTGGCCAAGGAGGTGGTCGCGAGTACAATACAAATCGGAATGACCATAATCCTTCTCGAAAGGATAAAAGTAAAATCAAATGTTTTACTTGTGAACAATTTGGTCATTATGCTTCGGAGTGTCCAAACAAGAATCGAGGTGAGGAGGCGAACCTCACTCAAGCCAACGAAGAAGAACCTATTTTGATGATGGCAGCCGCACAAGAATATGCACACAAAAAGGTGTCTCTAAGAGAGAAGATTTGTGTTAATCTTCTTGCATCGGGAGAAAGTCGAGTCGAGTCCGAGGTATGGTATCTCGACAACGGTGCTAGCAATCACATGACTGGAGACCGCTCAAAGTTTCGCGAACTAGATGAGCACGTTACGGGTCACGTGAAATTTGGGGATGGTTCAACCGTTGCTATTTTGGGAAAAGGGTCGATTTTATTCGATAGCAAAAATGGCGACCAAAGACTCCTTAATGAGGTATATTTTATTCCAAGTCTAAAAAACAATATTATTAGTCTTGGACAAATGACAGAGGAAGGAAGTCGGGTCATAATGGATGGGGCGGATCTGACATTGTTTGACAGAAACAAAACTCTACTTTTGAGAGTTAAACGATCCCCAAACCGGTTATATAAAACTCCTTTAAGGACCGGTAGACCGACTTGTCTTTTAGCAACAAAAGACGAACCAGCTTGGATATGGCATTCTAGACTCGGTCATGTTAACTTTCTCGCCTTAAAGAAGTTGTCTGAAAAGAATATGGCAACCGGAGTCCCAAAGATTGAGCACCCAAACCAAATATGTGAAGGGTGAGTTCTTTCCAAACAAACCCGAATTCCTTTCCCGGATCACGCAGTTTTTCGGGCTCAAAAACCTCTACAACTTGTTCATGCGGACTTATGTGGTTCGATCACACCTACATCTGTTGGAGGGAGTAAATATTTTCTCCTTTTAGTAGACGATTTTAGCCGGTGGATGTGGGTTTACATGCTATTGGAGAAGTCTCAAGCCTTGAGCGTTTTTAAACGGTTCAAGTTGATGGTTGAAAAGAATTCGGGTTATCAAATGAAGATACTTCGAACGGATCGAGGGGGAGAGTTCACTTCAAAAGAATTCTCATTATTTTGTGAAGAAAATGGTATTCAAAGGCATCTTAAGACACCATATTCGCCTCAACAGAACAGAGTTGTAGAAAGGCGAAATCGGACCGTTATGGACATGGCAAGAAGTCTGCTCAAAGGAAGAAATGTTCCGGGAGAGTTTTGGGGAGAAGCGGTTAGACATGCAGTTTATCTTCTCAACCGCCTGCCAACAAAAGCACTTCCCGACAAGACGCCTTATGAAACATGGTTTGGCAAAAAGCCCAACCTTGAACATCTAAAAGTTTTTGGTTGTGTTGCTTTTGCTAAACTTGTAGGTGGTCACTTGAAGAAGCTTGATGATCGAAGTAAAAAGATGGTGTATTTAGGTGTGGAAGATGGAACTAAAGGCAACCGTTTGTTTGATCCGCAAGACCGAAAGTTGCGAGTTAGTCGCGATGTTGTTTTTGACGAAAAAGAAGAATGGAATTGGTACAAAAACAAAGAAGAAGAGATGGTGACTCCTAAGACCTTTACCATAATTGAACCACAACCCCAAATACACCTCGACACACCTCGACCCCGAAATCAACCCGGAACAACCAGACAGTCCCGGAATCGATGCTATCCAAGTTGGATAACCAAATGTTGAATTTGACATGCCTGAATCAGCCCTGTTTTCTTCAACCTCGCCCCATATGGAAAGCCCTTCTAGTGAGATTGGGCCAAGGGGATTACGTCCGTTAACCGATATTTATTCTGAAACCGAAAATGTGTTCCTTGAACCGGAGAAGTGTTGATGATTGCAGCGGATCAACCCTTGAATTTTAAAGAGGCAGTAACCTCTAAAGCATGGCAGGAGGCTATACAAACAGAGTTGGATGCAATCGAGAAGAACAAGACATGGCAACTTACCGATTTGCCACCCGGACACAAAGCAATCGGTTTGAAATGGGTGTTTAAAGTGAAGGAAGACAACTTGGGAAAAGTGGTGAAGCATAAAGCTCGACTTGTAGCAAAAGGATTTGTACAAAAGGAAGGAGTCGACTTTGATGAAGTTTTTGCACCGGTAGCACGACTTGACACCGTAAGGCTTATTCTTGCCTTAGCAGCTCAACATGGGTGGGTTGTCCACCATCTCGATGTCAAGTCGGCTTTTCTCAATGGAGATCTCAAAGAGGAGGTTTATGTCACCCAACCAGAAGGATATGTTGATAGAGCAAACAGCCACAAGGTGTTCAAGCTTTATAAAGCTCTTTATGGTCTACGACAAGCTCCTCGAGCTTGGAATATTCGTTTGGATAAAAGCTTAAAAAGGCTTGGTTTTACAAAAAGTTCACAAGACACAGCTGTTTACAAAAGGAACTCAAAAGACAAAATTCTTATTGTTGGTGTCTATGTTGATGACTTGATCATTACCGGGTCGAACACTAACGATGTTGTCGAATTCAAAGAACAAATGAAGAAAGAATTCGAAATGAGTGATTTGGGATTAATTTCTTACTACCCTGGAATCGAAGTTTCACAAAAGAAGTGGGGAATATCTTTGCGACAAACGGCTTATGCAAAGAAGATTTTAGAGTAATTTGGGTTGCTGGATTGCAATCCGACAACGTCACCAATGGAACCTAAGTTGAAGGTCAAGAAGGATGAAGATGGTGAAAAAGTTGATCCAACTGAATATAGGCGAGTGGTAGGTTGTTTGAGGTACTTGACTCACACTCGACCAGACCTGTCATTTTCGGTTGGAATTGCAAGTCGTTTCATGGAGGAACCGACCACTTTGCATTTCCAAGTTGTGAAACACATCTTACGATATGTAAAAGGAACTGTTGATTATGGACTCAACTATGGAAGAGGTCGTGAAATTGAAGATTTGGTTGGTTTTACCGATAGTGATCTTGGAGGTGACCCTGTTGATAGCAAGAGCACAAGTGGAATGATTTTCTATTTGGGAAGGAATGCGATAACCTGGCAATCCTAAAAGCAAAAGACTGTTGCTTTGTCCACGTGTGAAGCCGAGTTCATGGCAGCTACAACAGCAGCATGTGAAGCCATTTGGCTTGCTAATCTCATGAAGGAGCTCACGGGACATCATATCATGCCTATCACCTTATATGTCGATAACAAGTCAGCAATCGCATTGATGAAAAATCCTGTGTTTCATGGTCGAAGCAAACACATTGACATTCGTTATCACTTCATACGAGAATGTGTTGAACGTGGGCAAATTATAGTGGAATATGTCAACTCGAAGGATCAACGGGCGGACATCTTTACAAAGGCTTTAGCATACGTGAAACATGGTGAAATGCGAAACATGATCGGAGTGACGAATCTCGATCCAAGTTCGGTTTAAGGGGGAGAATGTGAGTGTAAACCAGACTTGGTGTGAACCTGACATCAGTAGCTGCACCTCTATCTATGTTGACAATAAGAACTCAAATGGCAACTTCGTATGTTCACATAATGAACACAATAAATGGTAGCAGTAGTAATTGTAGGCTTGTTTAAGTATAAATAGAGGCTCTAACCTCAGTTGTAAGGCACCACAAAACAGAGAGTGTAGTGTGTAATACTTAGAGTGAGTATTAGAGGGTTGTTTCTTTTTCTTGTAATATTGAGCGTGTAAGCTTTTTCTCTTTTGTTTTAGTTCTGAATAAAAGTGTGTTTCAACCCCAACGTTGTCAATGTCCCCTTTCTCACAAAAGGCTAGAATTAAGACGACATAACAATATTCATCAGGTACAACTTCTCTAAGCTTCATGTCAAGTAACACATCTTCTGCATCTTGTAGCTTCGACTCTTTTACAAAACCTCGAATGATACAAGAATATGCAAGTGTTTTAACCGGCTTATTTGATTTCCTCAAATTCTTTACTAACTGAAAGGCTAAATCAGTTTTCCCTTTGCGGCAAAGCCCATGAATATACATACTATAAATCAAAGCATTAGGATCAACTCCAGCCTCTTTCATTTCTTCAATCACGTTCCAAGCTTCTTCCAAACAACCCTTCTTACAAATTTCTCGCATCAGAATGCCATATGTAAACTCATCCGGAATCATCCCATTCCTCTTCAGTTCTCTGATAACCGACTCTACCATATCCTCTTTGTCCTGTTTAATTAACTCCCACATTACAAAATTACTAGTTCGTGTTGACACAACAAGTCCTCCCCTACTTTTCATCTCGGACAAGGTGTGTATCGCCCCCTCAAACCTTCCAGCACTTGCATACACCTCAACCAATCCATCAACAACTTTTATCAACTTTTCCTCCAACAATGCGTCAAACAGATCATGAAAAATTTCAAAATTAATAACTTCCCAATTTGTATTATCAATAACATCATTAATCAAGTTATCTGACCTTGCATCTATACCCCAATCCCAATGACACAACAATCGGACAACTGCAATGTAAGTTTCTAAATCATGTTTAAAACCAGACTCTTTCAGTTGACGTATAAATAACAACGCACTGCTCCGTTCTCTTTTCAACTGGTCATACGTTTCAATAGCCTTAAACTTACCAAGTTTTTTCAAGCGGATGACATAACACATTGGTATCCGAAGATGAGTCTGACACGTCAGAGTATGCTGCATATGCAAGCGATCTAACGGATGTCCAACGTAGACTCCAGGAACGTTTTACCAGATTACAGCAAGAACTCAACCGAGTAAAAGGAGGCGTCATAGCGTTTGAGGTTAGTTTTTAGGGTTGAGGGTTTAGAACAGGGAAATGGAACCCTAGTAAACGGAAATCTTAGTTTCGTTTTAAAACGTATCGATCTCCAAAGAGTTTGGAGGAGGGAAACAGAAAACACTTATAAGATTAGGTAAATTACAGAAATTGTCCCGCAGTTTGGTAAAAACCACATTTAAAGTCCAGGTCTATAAAATATGGCACGAGCACTCTTTATCGTTTTATTATCTTGCAGACCACTGACTTCCATAGTTTTTGTTAAGTTTGATATAGAAAGCTTTTAATTTTCTATTTAAAATCATGATAAATATCTTAAAATGTTATTAATTTTATGAAAATATGACACTTGTTAACATTTCAAATATATAGAAAGATAAATACGAAGAATATGCGCAGGAGGTTATTTAATTTTTTTTTTCCGTTTTCTTATCGTTGATATTGTTGTTATTGGTTCACACATTTATTTTCCACCTTTCCTCATTCCCTCTCTCTTCCTAAATGACAACCACATTTTTTTTCTCTTATATTAAACACCAATACACGTTATTTAAGGCAAAAGCTTCATCTTCTCCGTTGTGCTACCCACGAATTCATATTCAGGCGAAAACTTCATCGTGTCTCTAACATGATTCAACTTCTCCATTGTGCTACCCCAACCCTAAAATCTAATCGCTACTGTAACAGACAAATAGACATGAGCATAGGCAGGTATCATATCGAATTGTTCTTGAACGAACTTACCACAAACATTCAATGTTACATTATGAGTACGGGGTCTATGTAAGACCAACAAAGTTCCTAACATATTAGGTGAAATTGTGCGCATATTTTCCATTGATTGGTGCGGTTTTATCATAAATTGTCTTAAACCTTGTAAAAACAATTCGAAGAGGGACGAACCAGTATGTTATTTCATTGGTCCTGTCATAATATTATCTGGTAAATTTCATAAAACTTTTTATGTTTTCAATTTTTTATGATTTTAAAACTATGTTTTTTGTTTTTTTCAATTAATTAAGAAACCATATTTTACAATTTGTTGCAACATTGACCATTTTTTCGGTTGCCACTGTTGAAATGACATTGGACGTTGACGTGACACTGTTTGGTAGTTATCGTGCGTGTGATTCGTAAGTTAGAAAAAAAAAACGAAAGAAAAAATGACATAAAATAGCTTTACTTGTTTTATGCTTAAAAAAAGAAAAACAAATGTGTTGTAATGTAATTAATAATTTTGCATTTGTTCCATTTAGAAAGTAAAACATAACACTTGCATAGTAAAAACAACTGATTAAAGTATAATAACATTGACAAATAAATATACATAAATACATGTTCCAAGCAAAAGCATTCTAGCTAGCGAGAAGCTAGGATTACAAGACATTAAGACATTCAACATTTGGATCTAAACACCAGTTAATTAATATACTTACCATGAGTGAAATGCATTAGGTTCGACTGCCTCTTTCATTTGTTCAAACACGTCCCAAAATACCAAAATTTAACTTTGCATGTTAAAGCTTTTATAAGCTTATCAGTTTACCAAACATATTGTCTACAAAAAGCATATATAATAAAATGCTACCAAAGTTTTAAACATCTTAAATGCAAAATAAAATGTCACTAGGTGACACCTAGGCTTCATCTAATTGACAGGCTCGTCCAAACTGCTACCTCCACCGTCTTTGTCATAAACAGCCTTCCTAATCTTTCATCTTCACTTGCCTCTTAGACTTCCTAAACTTCTTAAGAATCCTAGCATGAAGAGCATTGAGACTAGTCAACTTATGGAGTGCAAGAGTTTGTTGGGTAGTATTCAACTGTCCAACAGTACCCACTGCAGCTTGATCCCTAACATCTTGAACCGCTCCATCACAAACACCTTCATTTTGAACACATGCATCTGGAACACCCTCGACCCCTTCACCTTGACCCATGTTTGGTTGAACCCGTTGAACTTGAAACCCTGCTAGAGATTTTTTTTATCAAAATGGTCATTTTTACATTTTTGGTCACTTAATTAAGGCATTTGGACCACTCAAAACTGAAATATAAGAACATCTTGAAACCTGCAACAGTTTTTTTCGGTCAACATGACAGTTTTTACCTTTTGGGTCAGTTTGGTCATTTTCACCATTTTGGTGTTTTTGGTCCATTTGGCCTTAACCCTTAAAGAATTTAAAATTTAAAGATAATTAATCTGGAAAGTATCAAACTATACTATATATATATATATATATATATATATATATATATATATATATATATATATATATATATATATATATATATATGAGTTTCAAATAAAATTCACAATAATATGAGGGAGTTACATGAGACTAATAAGTCAGAAAAAAAAATGAATGAAAAAGCAAAGTGAAATAAAATAGCTTTATACTTGTTCTAGGATTAAAAAATCAAAACAAATATGTTGTGTTGTAATAACTATGCATGTGTTGGAATTAAAAAGAAAAAAGAAAACACTTGCACAATTATATATAACAACAATTGGTAAAAATATGATATTGTTATATCGTATACATATTGGTTGGTACCTGCTTGTGCCTGCCTAACAACAGGCATGATTTTCCTGCTTTTCATCTCTTCTAGCAACCCCATGGCATCATCCTTTTTCCCTAGTTTACATGCAGCATCAATTGCAATAGAAAACGAGACCTCATCAATGAAAACCCTTGATTGCTGCGTAAAATGCTTGAACAAGCATAGAGCTTCATCAAGCTTCCCTATATGCCACAAGTGTTCCATCATCCGCCTCACAAACTTATGATCGATTTTAATACCTCCTGATTCCATTTCCTTAAAAAGATCCAATGCCTTGTCAATATCTCCTTTCACACAATACCCTCCAATTAACTCACCATAACAATCTGCATTAGGGACAACTTCTCTAATTTTCATTTCGAGAAACATATCTTCTGCCTCTTGTAGCTTCGACTGTAATACCATAATTTGAATGATATAATAATATGGATAAACATTAAGCAACGGCTTATTCAATTTCTTTACTAACTGAAAGGCTAAATCAGTTTTCCCATTGCTGCAAAGGGCATAAATATACATACGATAAGTGAGATCATCAGGTTCAACTCCAGCCTCTTTCATTTCTTCAATCACGTTCCATGCTTCTTTCAAACAACCCTTCCTACAAATTACGTACAACAGGAGCCCATATGTATACAAATTAGGAATCATTCCATCCATCCTCAGTACTCTGTAAACCGGCTCTACGATATCCTCTAAGTCCTCTTTAATTAACTGGGACATTATAAAATTACACGTTTTTGTTGACACCACAAGTACACCCCTCCTTTTCATCTTGATCAAAGTGTGTATCACCTCCTTAAACTTTCCAGCACTTGCATACACCGTAAGCAACCCATTAACAGCTTTTATCAAATTTTCCTCCATCAACGCGTCAAACAGATCATCAGAAACTTTAAACCTAACAACTTCCCAATTTGTATTATCAATAACATCATTAATCACATTATTTGACCTTGCATCCATACCCCAATCCCAATGACACAACAATCGAACAACTGCCATGTAAGTTTCTAGATCATGTTTAAAACCAGACTCTTTCAATTCACGCATATATAACAGCGCACTTCTACATTCTCTTTTCGACTGCTCCAAGAGGGTTTCATTAATTACCTTGAACTTACCCACTTTTTCAAGCGGACGACATAACACATTGGTATCCGAAGAAGAGTCTGACACGTCGGAGCATGTTGTATAGGCAAGCGAACTAACACGTTGGAGATTCCATGAACGTTTTACCAAATTACAGCAAGAAGCCAACCGGGTAAAAGGAGGCGGCATAGCGTTTGAGGTTAATCTTAGGGTTTAGGGTCCTGTAGTTGGTAAAAAAAACCACATTTTAAGTCTTATTGTCATTATACCCTAACAATATTTCGTATAAGACAAAATTAAAAATATAGCTAAATTCCTTAATTAATTTGTGGAAAATAGCCAAAAAAAACTCAAATTACAAATATAACCATGAAAATCGCAAATGGATTAATGTAACGCCCGTAGATCAGGGCTAGTCAATTTAGAGACAATAAGCATCAAAAATGACTTTTTGATGGAAGATTATTTAGAAGGAGTAATCTTAACTAATGTAGTGTATGTTACAAGGTTTCCGAATATATAAAGAACGCCGAAATCCGAGTTATAACGAAGAAGTTATGACCTGTCGAAGTTTCGCGACAGAACAGGCACGACACAGCGCGATGTAAATAATGAATTTACGTTAGAGTGATATTTGGCCTTAGCGATCTGAACGAAAGTCGTAGAATACGTTAAACCGAGAGCGTACATAAAAAGAACGTCCAAATCTGACTTCATATGAGGAAGTTATGATTTTTCTAAGTTTCGACTTAGCGGTATGCAGCCCGAATACTCGATTTGAGATCGAGCGGTTTTTAGCCGAAACAATCTAAACGAGAATCGAAGATCTCGTCGATAGTCCAACGGTAAAAAGACAGACAAAAACGGACGTCGGATGAAGAAGTTATGAATTTATAACGGAGTTTTCTTACCCCGGCCTACTAAAAATAAATAATAAAAATAAAGTCAAAATTAGCCGACGGAGTCTAAACAAAAGTTGTAGAGCGTAGTCTCACCTACGCGGGGATATAAAGAACGTCGAAAACGGAGTTCGTATGAGGAAGATATGAATTTTTGAAGTTTATTAAATAATTTCGATATTAAATTTAATTATAAAATATCTGATATTATCCAAAGGGGGGGGAGTCAGCGGCCTTATCCGGGTTACGCCCAGCGTAAATCGAGGATCCAGCCCCTATAAAAGGAAGTCGAGTGCAACCGATTC